AAGTTTTATACTTAACAAAATATTTAAATTTATTGTTCTAATTTATAGCTATGTTTGACGTCTCCAGAACCTGGGGATTATCGAGAAAATTCTAATTTTCTTAAAAAGCACTATGTACTTCTTATAGTTATTTTAAGTACTTAATATGCCTAATGCTGCACATTATTATTTCTAAGTTTTCATATATGCATTCTCGCTGGTATGCGAGAAATAATCAAACATTTACAAATTTAGGCAAGTTGCTTTCAGGACTCGCAGGACTGTACGTCTCTTTAAATGGCCTGAAAAATTTTGTGGGGGAGTTCGGAGTCCCTATCTGTAAACGAGGAACAGGTATTTTCAGGCGTGTACCGTGCATCCGTTCGGTCTGTCCTCCTCTACAGCTGTAAATGCCCGACTGTACGTGTGGAAGATAAAATTAAACTGGACGTATTTGACCACTACTGCTTGAGAACCATCCTTCGAGTGAAGTAAACCGACTTCGCCACATGTAATAGAGGCCGCAGGCGCTGCAACAATTTATCGCAAGGATATTCTAGGCCATCCAAGAAAAACGGCTGAAGTGATTTGGACACGTTCTTCGTCATCAAATGCACGAGCTCGGTGTTACTGTACCCCATCCGAAACTGTTAACCCCTTGGAGACGCCGAAGAGGGAGTTAGCTCAAAACCTGCCTCGACTCAGTCCAACAGGACATGGAAGTGGTTTTTGTGCCTTCGGTATTCGGCCTCCGGCGCTGGCGAGGAGAAGGGATTGAACTACCCAGGCCTACTGCCACAAATCATCACGCGTGGAGAATTACCATCCGAGACATCATCGAGGCCAGCTAGATCAGTCATTAGTACGGCCATAACAAGTACGAGATTGATCGTAAATTTTTTAGCGGGGTCATACAAGCAGTTTCTGAGGTTTATAAAACACCCCAGAGCGGTGCCAGTCCGAGCAAGGATGCCCCCGCCCCTTCGTATTTGCATTTGTGAGGGTTGCATTACTTCTGACAAAAGAGGAATTGCCGGAGTTAATGTGATTTGCAGTATTGATAGACAAACTAACCGGTTTGTTGACTTCTTTCACACGGAACTATATCCTGTAAGTTCTCATAACTTACTGACACCCAGGCCATAAGCCGGCGTCCTGCAGAAAAGCAATCACGACTAAAACCGCTTGCACTATTTCCCACTATCCAAGCAGTGACCTAGTTAAGTGGAAAGTGCAACTAGACACAGCCTTATCACAGCCTCCGCTGAATACTGCATGCATATGATAGTCTGTGATGGACGGTAGTGTAGAATTAATGGATGCTAATGATGCACAGATAATTCTTCCTGATACACCACCTAGCTCCACTGACTGCTACACAGTCTCACAATGGAGGGAATTGAAATGTTGAGAAGTAGACGACTCGATCGCTGGGACAATACTTTTATTCGCTTGGCGTTTCGACATCAGTCGCGGATTCGTCATCGGAGACATGATCACAGAGCAGTAGAAGATAGAGGTAGTGTGTGCACAGGAGTTTGCCGTAAAATTTAAAAGTGTAGAAAAGTCGTTAACTGACAGGAGTGTGCGCCGATTTGCCACGTCAGTAATGATCATTTGGCCCTGTAGTGTTGGCGTTGGTTCACGGGCCCCAAATCCATCAACAAATGCAACGATTTGCCCAGTCCATATTCGGGGCTAAGACTTAATTTAGCCAAAACAAGTCACCGCTCGGGGAACAGACAGCCCACCGCATCGTACAACGCCAAGACCACAGGGCCAGATGGTCAATGCTGACGTGGCGAATCAGCGCTCACTTCTGTCAGTTATCGATTTTTTCTACACGTTTAATTTTTACGGCAAACTCCTTTGCACACACTACCTCTATCTGCTACTGCTCTGTGATTATGTCTTTGATGATGAATCCGCGACTGATTTCGAAACTTCAGGCGAATAAAAGTATTGTCCGAGCGATCGAGTCGTCTTCTTCTCAATTACTTTTTGGGTCTCGCATGTTCGCTTGCATTGGGAATTGAAATGTGTACCGAAGCCAACCAGCTGATTGGCTCATTCAGTTTCTACTAGGAGCATGGTCCGTTTCTTTTGTACCCATATCATGCAGAAGCAGCATGCGATACCCATTTTCCTCTTATCCCCTTGTCTGATGCTCTCCCCCCCCCTCAAAAGTCTTAAAAAACTTCTCTTCCTATGCCTTACCTTTTATCTATGCACGCTTTAGGACTACGGAGAAATAGTTCGTCTTGTTGAGGACATAGAGGCCCTTCATACACACCAGAATATGGTTAGTCTTCCTACCATCCAATACTACTATGCATTTGCTTTGAATCGTCGCAACGGCAAGGGTGACCGAGAGAAGGCCCTGAAGGTGATCAACGAGGTACGCACCCCCCAGTAACTTTATTTTACATATTTCTGCCATCTGGTACTTTTTATCGTCGCGAGTCACAAAGCCCACCGCTGTGCCACAGTACTGACTATTGCATGCATTTATTTCGGTAAGAGAAGGTCTTTGAGAAACAGCACACCAGGTCGACTTCAGATGCGTAGAGGGTGTACAGAACAGTGAGAATTTCGAACATACTGGAAAAATCGATAATGTCTAGTCATGTTTGGTCAATAGCAGTGTCTGTTTGTTGGCCTTTAGTCAGGATTGGTTACCACCTTTTCCATGCTTCCTTGAGATTTGTGGACATAGCATCTAATTCGACGTGTCTATTCATGCAAGAGATATCGGAGTAAATGGCCTCTAAAAACTCCCGGCCTTCCCTAGATAGGCAAGAGCCAACAATGCAAGTTTGGTCCCATGCGAATTTGTTCCCAGTTTCGAGTGTGTGCATGTCGACTTTGTACAGATGATCTCGCCTCCTCCTTACTGCTAGTTGGTGTTCGTGTAAGCGTTTAGAGGCTGCTTTTTATGTCTGTCCACAATAGACTGCATTACAGCCGTCACAAGGATGCTTGTAGACGACTTCTTTTCTGTCCAAATAGCCAACCCTGTCGTTAGGGTGTACAAGCTGATTCCGCAGTCGTGTAGTCGTTGGTTTGTGCACCACTTGGATTTGAAGCCTCCGAAGGTGTCTTTTAGAAAGTTCAGTTCAGTATGAATTTATTTATAGGGAAAATAAGTTATCATTAGTGGATAGATGCTCTCCGATCGCTAACAAGTCTAACTCGCTCGTTCTCACTTGGGACTCAATCGACAGCCCCACCAGCGGCCGCACAGCAGCCAATATTATAGGCAGATGAACATTATAGACAAAAGCAAGGAAGATTGGAGTGGCCTACCTCACTAACTTTCGCATTTACCACATTTCGAAATGAGAAAAGGCCAAGATGATCGAATAATTACTCAAGTGCAGTATCTGACAAAGCTATAAACGATCTGTTTACGCCTGCAACGTGGGTGCTGGTCTCCGACTCTAGACTACTCAGTCCTCAAATTGGGCAAATGTGGACAGCTGTAAACCGGCCCAAGTTGCAACTTACCATTACTAGCAGCCCAGGTACTAGGCTCAAACACGTTTCGCCGGTATTGTGCCGCTGCTGGACACAGCTTCGAGGTGTCCAGCTCTGTCTGATATGACGGTTTTGAAAGTTCACCTGTTTTACTTTCTTTAAGACACCTTTTCTGTTCGCGATATATATTAATATATGCAGAAGGACATTACCAGCAAAGACAA